CCGATGACAAAGCTTTCTGAGATACGAATCTAAATATTACGGCGTCTGCAGAAAGGAAGAAAGTGGGTACCTTTTAGTTCATGCTTCAAGGGCTTGGTGGATTTTGGAAGGCTGCCCTGGCAAATCCCCATTCTGAAGACTCATCCCAGGATCACAAGGCACAAGACTGCGAACCGATGTACAAAACTATTTTGGCCATTTCAGCTTAGCTGACATGTGACTCCCCTGGGATCTCTTTCTGATGTCACAGACATCTGATGTCACGGCTAAGCAAAGCTTTCATGGTTGACAATCTGTTGCAACTAAACCTCTCTTCTTGGCTCAACTCTCAAGAAAACAAAGGATGCGAACTACGGTCGTTCAATTTTCTATTTGCAGGTCTTTTGTTATTTTGTGATTTTCGCCATTTCCTTCTCTTCTGCTGTCTCCAGGTAGTGCCACACCCACTAGGCCAGTGTTTCTCAACCTTGGCCACTTGAAGAGGTCTGGACTTCAACTCCCAGAATTCCCCAGCCAGCATTCGCTGGCTGGGGAATTCTGGGAGTTGAAGTCCAGACCTCTTCAAGTGACCAAGGTTGAGAAACACTGCCCTAGAGTATTTTACTCAAGTGCTGATCTTTGTTCCCTCTTGATTTTTAGGGTTGTAGCTTCAATGCCACCATTCTTCAGATCCCTGGAAAAAGAGAGGAGGCATGGAGATTCTCTGAGCTCTAGAACTAAAATAGGGGAGTTCAGACTTGTCCACTCAAGCCAAAGGAATGAAAATCAGACACACACTTCCTGATATATATTGGGTTAAATTGGGGAAAAAATGAGCTTTTCGCACAAAAAGTAACTGCACTTTTTAAAAAAGCTTCCAATCATTTGCACCTTGAAGGTGGAGATTCATTTTCTGAACTTGTGGGTTGGTTTCCTAAAGTTTTGTTATTAGGCTAGGTAACCTCTTCAACTGAGCTTAGGGGATGTCATTATCAGTGTTTTTCTGTTTATAAGGGCTTCAGGTGTGGGTAGGTCAAGTGAGGGTCTTGTTATGGGTTCATCAATGAGAGTCTTGTGATGGGTCTTGTGATAGAGAGTTTACATTAGGTCAGGGTCATTGGGAGGTAAACTGCTGGTGTGTTTGTGTGTGGGGCGGTTGCATGGGTTGGTTGAGGGTCGGTGCTGTCTCTGGTTGGCTGTGTGGTGATTTGGATTCTGACAGGTTTGTAGGCTGGTTGTAGGTCAATGTGTCTGTTTATGAAATTTCTTGTGGAGTGCCAAGAACTCAAGAGCACGGTGAGTGTTAGCATGGTCAATGATTTTTGTGTTGCTCCAATTGAACTGGTGCTGTTTGATGTCGGTGTGGATAGAGATTAAGGATTTGGGATCATGGCATTTGACTGCCAGCCAGTGTTAATTGATGTGATGTTTGTGCCTCAACTGCACAGCCAACCAGAGACAGCACTGACCCTCAACCAACTCACACAACTCCCCACACCAGCAGTTCACCTCCCAATAACCCCGATTTGATGTAACCTCCCTATCAAAAGACCTGTCACAAGACTCCCAGTGATGACGCACACCTCACCCACCACAAAACCCTTACCTGACACACCCACACCTGAAGCCCCTATAAACAGAAGAACACTGACACTCACATCCCCTAAACTCTGCTGAGGATGTTANGCTTCAGTGCTCTTTCGTCAGCGCGCTTTAGAACTCGCGGTTTTGTCACCGCGGTTTAGTCAGGCGCGCTTTTGTCGTTCACCCTTTTGTGGTAGAACCAGTCATCCCCACCCCATCAATGGCCTTCCTGTGCACTGTGCCATGCTTTCCCCCCCTTATTCTCCCTGCATTTGCCTGAACCTGTGACTCTTTCCCTTAGCTTTCCTGTCCTTCCACTGCACCACAACACTGCCTCCTCTAGCTTGTGTTCAGACTGTGGTGACCCTCTCAAGGTCTCCCCAATGCCTCTGGGCCCCCTGCCCCCAATCCTTAAATGGGACTCCCGCTGATTCCCACGTAACCACCCATATGTCATGGAGTGACTTGCAGAAACTAGGCCTGCCTGGATTGCTGTCATTAAGCAATGCAATCACGTGATATTCATAGTTTACAGCCACATTGCTTAGTGATGGCCATTCTGGTCCCAATCGCTGTCATAAACCAAGAACTACCTGTCATATTCACTTAATGAATTTAAAAAGAGAATATCCGCATAATTTAGATTGCTCATCATGTTTGATAAGTCAGATCCATGGGGATGGGGTTTAACGGGAGGATTAATAATCATGGAGTGAGAGTTCCCTCCCCATGAGTAAATTTCATTTTGACCTTTTATGTCCAAAATGGGAGATTAAAAACAGATTTCAACCTTTGCACATTTTGAAAATAGCTGTTACTGTAATTACAAAGATACTATTATGGGTAACGTGGCTACTCATACACACTCCTTGCTGGGGAAGCAGTTCTGGAAAGCTCAGAGACCCAAGGGGACAAAGTAAAGTCTGAATCTGAGTGAACACAAAGCATTTTTCTACTCCAAAATTTATTTCACAGAATAAAGATGCTTCTATAAAAGGAAACATGTTCTGGAAATACTTTTTTTCCATGCTATGTCTACATAACACTTATCTGGTCTTCATTTTATCCCCAGTCCATGGATGAGACAAGTTTAAGGTATCCTTCTTCCCTTAATCCAAAGGAAGCCTAAACCTGTGCAAAATTGGTGAGACTTGGAAGGATTTTAGGTGACTTCAGTGTCCTGAAACAAAGGCAATCAGGCCATGATCAGAATGGCAAAGTGGACAGTGAATTTCCTGCCAGTATAGTTTTTTGCTGACTCAGGAAAGTGTGGATAGCAGAATAACAGAATAACAGACTTGAAAGGCACCTTGGAGGTCTTCTAGTCCAACCCTCTGCTCAGGAAGGAAACCCTATACCATTTCAGCCAAATAGTTGTCCAATCTCTTTTTAAAAACATCCAGGGTTCAAGCATTCCCAATTTCTGGAGACAAGTCAATCCATTGATTAATTGTTTTCACTATCAGGAAATTTCTCCTTAGTTCTAGGTTGCTTCTCCCCTTGATTAGTTTCCACCCATTGCTTCTTGTCCTGCCCTCAGGTGGTTTGGAGAATAGTTTGACTCCCTCTTTTTTGTGGCAATCCCTGAGATATTGGAACACTTTTACCGTGTCAACTTAGTTCTTCTTTTTATTAAACTAGANAGGCTTGAGGCCTACTTTGGTTCAGCCTGCCACCTCAACTTCAACTCCCAGAATTCCTCAGCCAGCAGGAGTTGAAGCCCACGAGTCTTAAAAGTGGCCAAGGGCGGAGACCCCTGCTCCAAAACACCCGAGGGCAGGACAAGAAATAACAAGAAGAATTGCGCAGCAGCTGTCCAGATGAAGTCAGCGACACTGAGACGAACTTGTAGTTTTATATAAATAAATATATTTCACAATTTACAGCAGACAAGAAGAAGAAGAAAAAAAGGGAAACTCCCCCTTTACACCCATGGAAACCAATCATAGCGTAGGTTTGGCTCATGCAGGAGCCAGCCAGCCAATCATCTCCCACCGTGCGTTCTGGCCCATTGTACAATGTTATTGTTCCGGCTACTAATTTTAAGTTCATAAACAGGAGGGAAATTTATTAATGAGAAATTAATCAGTGGAACAGAAGTTGCCTCCAGAAGCTGTGTACGCTTCAACATTGGAAAAATTTAAGAAGATGTTGGATAACCATTTGTCTGAAGTGGTGGAGGCTTTCCTGCCTAAGCAAGGGGTTGGACTAGAAGACCTCCAAGGTCCCTTCCAACTCTCTTACTCTATTCTGTTCTATTTTATGGAGAAATTTCCTGACAGAATCAGAGTAGAGCTGGAAGGGACCTTGGAGGTCTTCTAGTCCAGCCCCCTGCTCAAGCAGGAAACCCTGTACCATTTCAAACAAATGGTTGTCCAATCTCTTTGTTAAAACCTCCAGTGATGAAGCTCCCCAAACTTCTGGAGGCAAGCTGGTCCACTGATTAATTGTTCTCGCTGTCAGGAAATTTCTCCTTAATTCCAGGTTCATTCTCTCCTTCATAACAAATAATCAGTGGAATGACTTGCCTCCAGAAATTGTGGGTGCTCCTTCACTGGAGGTTTCCAAGAAGCTGGACAGAATGATGTAGGGCAGCTGTGGATATTTTATGGCCCTTGGGCCACATCTGGCCCTTTGGCTGTCCCTGTCCAGCACTTGTGGATTGCTTTTATTTTGAAGGCAACTGCTTTTTTTTTAAAAAAAAAATACATATGTCTCTTCAGCATATCTAAGCACCTTCACAGCTCCATTGGTTCGGCCCTCCACAAAAATCCCAGTTTCTCATGTGGCCCCTTGGGAAAATTAATTGCCCACCCCTGGTATAGGGGTCTCCTGCTTGAGCAGGGGGGTGGAAGAGAAGGACCTTCAAAGCCCCTTCCCACAGTATGACTACATGTTCTATATTTTAAATGATTTGGATGACTAGTAGGCACCTTTGTTAGAAAATGTCTTTCCCCTTTGTTAAAAAGTGGACTGTGGAAATATTTACAGATCCCTCGCATCCTGGACATAACTTGTTTCAACTCCTACCCTCAAAACGACACTATAGGGCACTGCACACCAGAACAACTGGACACAAGGAGAGTTTTCCCCCGAATGCCATTACTCTGCTAAACAAATAATGTCAAAAATATTTACTAAGGCTGCATTACTATTACTATTACTATTAGTCTTCTCATCGTTCCTATCACCCATCTCCTCCCACTTATGACTGGTTCACTGACAAAAGGGCTAACGACAAAAGCGCACCCGACTAAACCGCGGTGACAAAACCGCGAGTTCTAAAGAGCGCCGACGAATGAGCGCTGAAGCGTGGCGACAACAGCGCAGCGACAGAAGCGTGCTGTAAACCTAACCCTAAACCTAAACCTAAACCTAACTCTAAACCTAACCCTAAACCTAACCCTAAACCTAACCCTTACCTTAACTTAAATCGCGCTTCTGTCGGTGCGCTGTTGTCGCCGCGTTGATGACGTTGCGTTGATGTTGCGGTTTTAGCACCGCGGTTTTTTCGGCGCGTTTTTGTCGTGCGCGCATTTGTCGGGTCACGCTTATGACTGCATGGCTGTAACTTTGTTGCTTGTATCCTTATGATTTATATTGATAGTGATTGTTTCCTAATTGCTTATTTGTATCCTATGACTATCAATAAGTTTGTACCTTATGATTCTTGACGAATCTTGTCTTTTTATGTATACTGAGAGCATATGCACCAAAGACAAATTCCTTGTGTATCCAATCACACTTGGCCACTAAAGAATTCTGTTCTATTCTATTACAGGCAGTGTGCATGTAGGGCAGTGTTCTCACCCTCAGCTACTGATATTCTATGTTTAAAACCTACTTAAACCACGTATCTCCTTCCCCATCCCACTTCAATTATGTCCAGTGGCATGAGGGTGGGAGCAGGCTAAGGAATATCAATGGCCATGCAATCAAAACTCTGCCTCTTTATTTGTTTGTTTTGCACACACACATAGGGAATAGGGCGGCATAAAAGTGTAATAAACATACATACATTACAAAGGGACAGGGGCTTCAGTTGTGAAGACATCACTGTTATATTGAATTCTGACATTCCCTTAATTAAAATTCTGAAACTCTGGTTGTTTTTAAAAAGGGGGCTGTAATTCTAATTTTAAAGGGGGCTGCAATTCTAATTTTTAAAGTCTTGGTTTGGGAATAGCTATAATTGTACCCTTGTTCTCTAGATTTGATAGTGATTTGTAGTTTGATAAATCACAGTGTCAGCTGTAATTCGTGTATGAAAAATGGATATAGCAATAAGTTGCCCCAAAGAATTGTAAATTAGTGTTTCTCAACCTTGGCATCTTTAAGATATGTGAACTTCAACTCCCAGAATTCCCCAGCTAGCATGCTGAGAAACACGGATATGGATAAATTTTGAGAACATAAAGCATTTCGACATTTTTAAAAGTATCTTATGAGTTTTATGTGAATGGATTTTGTTATTATTGACATTGT